GTTATCCCTCCTCATTTTTTGGATAATGAAGGCAAGATTATTCGAGACTACTACTTGTGATGCAACGCCTTGGTACTATCACATCTAAATGTTGAGTTGGTTTTGAAAATAAATTTAATATTAATTTAATTGTTTTATATTTTATTAAGTACATAATATTTCAATAAATGAAATTATTGATATTTATAATGTTAAAGAAAGATATAATTCATTTTCCACATTTATTATTTTAAGAGAAAATTAAATGATAATACTTCCAAGTCTAGGTTCTAGATTTAGAGGTGTTACACAAATCGATATTGTTCATGAACCTCGTATAAAAGTTCTAGTTTATGATTTTGGTGACCAAATAAAATGATACTTTACTAGACGTGTGAGTCTTTGTTGATTAGTAGACATAGTGAGCTTTCCTTTAGAGGTTCAATAGGATTACAAGGATCAAATAGTTATTGATGGATCATATGCTAAATTATCATTCACTGCTTAATTTTAATACAAAATATTTTTGTTCAAAATGTCTTGCATTCTATTTATGTCATTTTGGAAAAAAAAAAAAAAAAAACATATCATTGGGGAAAATTATGTGAATTGCAAACGTAATTTGATGTCTGTACTCGTTGCTAAAAAACTAAATTTTGTACTTGATGAATGTTAAGAGGAGCATACTTAGATTACCAGCAAGTCCGAGAGCCTTCAAATGATAAGTGAGTGACCGCAGAAAAGATGCTTACTGAGAGCCTGTTTGGTACAGATTCTCATTTTCTACAGTAAATCAATTCTCATTTTCAACCACACATTCTTCAATAAAATAATATTTTCCATCACATCAATACTTTTTTCTTTTTTTTCAACCACACATTTCAAAACATATCACTATTCAAAAATCAATTCTTCCCCCAAAAATCTCTACCAAACACACTCTGATACATTTTTGGCATCTATGACAAATGTGTTACAAAAGAGGCATAAAAGTCTGCGTACCTCTTATTACAAAATGAAGAGCCTTCAAAACATATTTGGAAGTAAGAGGGTTACTTCGAATGCATCTTTACCTCTCAGAACATCCACAAGAAACTCAGATTACTAGTGAAGGATAATATGTTGAACATGATTCTACACTTGGCGTAGAATCTAAGTAAAACTATTGGTTTAAAGACTCGGGATTGTTTGGTGTTGAACTCTTTGTCTGATATATTCTCACAATTCACTATGGATTATATCACTTCCACAAGATGAAATGCTATTAATTGAGCTAATGAATGGGTTGTAAAATGTAGAGTGTTGGATTTTGATACCCAATAAATTTCAGACGATGTTAAATGATTTGAATTGAATTTCCTAGGCCTCGATCGATAAGTGAAATTATTATCAACACATCAATTGAATGGCTTGATCCAAAAACAACGTAGGCCATTAGAAGCAACCAAATGAATTAAGTTGCTCATTGCACAAAATCACTTCTTCGAAAGCTCTTATAAGCATATTTACCCTTTCTTAGCCCAACTTGGTGTAACCTATAGTGGTATCTTTCCTCTGCTGAACCTGTGTGGTGTATTTACTTGAGAAGAACATTGGCTACCGCTTCAGTTATTCTCTTCTCTTTGTGCCTTGAGCGTAACCTTGTTCCTCCATTGTTTACTCATCCTTTGTGGCTGCAAATAACCACCAAATATCTTGTTCTTTGTAGGTGAAAGAATACCATTGTTGTGAGTTGAGCCTTTTGATTGATTGGTAGCGTAAAACTGAGCCCGAATTTCATCAAATCAAAGTTATTGGAGCATACTTCCGCGGCAATTGGTATCACAGGTCCTAGGTATGATAAATTCAACCAGAATAGATCTAAAAAAGGGCAAAAATCAACGAAGAGCTTGGAACCCATCTGATCGAACCTGCAATTGAGTTTTTCGACCAATCCAGAGGTTGGTTGGACAAACCAAGACCATAGTGGTGCTCAGTTGTCAAGGCACTTATACCGGTGCGATGCGGTGCATGTGGCGGAGCGGAATCACGTGGAGATTATGCGAGAGACAATGGCCAAGTGTGTGGGCACGTCTGGTAGCTTCTAACATTTTGGTATTGTTAGTATTTTGTTTCATGTTATACAATAAATCTAAGTGATTTTACCCTTGGACATTTGGTTTTGATCCGGTTGATCGTGTTGTTGCACTTACTGAAACTTTATTACTAGTGGTGCCCTAAAGTAGCAAATTTATATTTATCTTTATTTACAAACCCGTCAATTTGGTTCACTCGATAAATTGGCTTCTCTCTTTAAATTCCAGTCCTAGTAGGCCATCGTGTGGGCTGGCCATTAGAATTGGGAATTATTTGCCGTATTTGAAGTGTTGAATTTAATTGGTAAAAGTTGTTCATTGATTGAGTGATATAATTACCTATTAAGTCACTATATGAGACCTGAATTGCGTAAGAAATTATTTTGTTGACATGTATATGTATTGCATTGATTATTCCGTTGGGATACATGGACTTGACCTCTTTGACCATTTCCTTATCTGAGTTCACGAATCTCACGAAATCTTGGAAATTTAGAACAACATATATTATGACCTTATGCTTACTTAATGTGTTCTAATTGTGCATTTTGGTTGCTCTGTGTTAAAAATGACCACACATTTTAATTTGAAAATTTTCAATGAAAAGGGAGATTTTTCTATCTGGCTATAGAAAATGAGAGAGATTTAAATCCGTGCTCCTACCTCATTTCACACACCCACAATCTCAATTACAACATTGCATACGTAACTCATCGAACATCAATTGTGGATCATAATCTAATGGCCAAACTCATCACTTCAACATCAAATTCCAACTGTAACATAAAAAAAGGCATGACTGAAATTTCAAAATTTTCGTACCTTGGAACATACACTTTCTGAAATTTTGGTTCGATCGGTGAGGAGTTGGGATTGGGTAGTTTTGGAACACACTTACTTTTACAGCATGTTTTCATGCCCACGAGGTGTTCCATGAATGCCCCAACTAGGCTTAAGTGAAATTTCAGCCCATTTTCGTATGATTCACGTCATCCCCTACATTACATCCGATATACTCTCATTTACATTTACATTGCATATTCACAATGTTGTGATCACATGAAGCATGTCACACACGATAACCTACACTCACTGTTTTCAGCCCATATTTCCATCCTCCTCAATTCATGCACAGTGGTCCATTTAATGTTTGACACACATTATCTAAATTAAAAGTACCTTAGCATTCAAAAGATGCCAGATGGATGTGGACATTTTTACAAGGATTAAAGTAGCAGAAACGAGATGACATTACTGTAGGGGACGACATGGCTGCGAAGATCGTGGAGAAGCTAACTAAGGATTGCAGACTTAGGTGACAAGGGGATTGTTAAGATAAAGCAGCAGGAAGGGCCATAAATACAAATTTCCATACTTGTATCATCACCACAAATTACATGTATCAACAGAATCAACATGACGATTCGGTCTACCAATTAAAATCTCATCCCATCCCATAATAATATAAGCATCAAGCACGCGACTCGCACTCTCGCAATGTGTATGCCATATTCTATCTAGAAAAATTATTCCTTCACCTCAAAAATCACTTGGCTTCGTCCATAGCTAATTGAACAGACACTAGAGACAAATGGACTACACGAGCATGAATCTCATTTGAATGGATAAGGAAGTCAAGAGTCTCAATAGAATTTCAATATCTCAACATTTAGAACGTAACAGAGGATAAATAAACATCTTTCCTACTGATAAAAAGAATAATGTTAGGTTTTGTTAGGTTTTTAATGTAATTGACAAGTCTGTGAACAAAAAAGATTGAAATTAATGTGATGTAAAAGTCAAGGAGTAGGTTGCAATTTGTATAAGTTGAGTTATATAGGTTCTAGGGTTCGAATATGAAACGAGGAGAAAAACGACGTCGTAATTTCGTTAAACCGTTGCCCAGACTCTGCTCGAGCGGCATAAACAAAAACATTGTTACTAGCCTGTCGCCTTTCCCTCTCTCGAGCAAAAACTTGTCGCTCACCTGTTGCTAAACTCTCGCTCAAGCGACAGTATCATCCGAAAAGTTTTAATTCGTATTTTTAAGGCTTTTTATCTGACTCATTCAACCTTAAACTTACAGTATAAATACCAGCACGCCTTTGAACAATTTTTTCGAATGTTGAACATTGAAAGAACACATACTACTTATATCTACTTCATCAATTTCATCCATAGCTTTCGACCTTCGTAATTTACTTTGTTATTGGATGTGAAAATATCAAACCCACTTAGTCCAAATACCAAACTGCTTACTTCCTAAACATCTGTCAGAATTCTGAAGATCAAGGGAAGCTGACTGGAGTTCCAGTTGTTGTTGAACACAGAGTTCTTCATTGATTCACAAAAGATAAATGAATTTATAAAACCGAGAGTTGGTGCAGGAGCACACAATCTACAAGGGCTTTAAAATTGCAGCCGGGAGTTGGTGCAGTCACACGATCCAGGAAGGCAGTGGGATTTGCAGTCAAAAGGTCAGAAAGTACTAGTGGTAGTCGTATCCGATGGACTACAAGTTTAAATTCATTTATAGAGAATTTTTTACTAGCAAAGTGTCCTGAGTTTTTACCATCAGTGATAATTCTCTGTGTTATTTACTGTTTTCATATAACTGCGACAGTTCATCATAGGGAAATTGGATTGATTGATTAACCATCTAGAGATAAATAAAAGTAACTTGTTGCTATTTAATTATTAGTTTTTTTAATTCCGCAAAATCACTTATTCACCCCCTTCTAGATGTAATTTGGGTCGAACCTCGTAATTTCAAATAATAACGGAGAAAAACAAAATCTAGGTTGAAGACCTAAGTTTATCCGACATAGATTGAACTAGTGTCATTTGAGTTGTGACAATGCATGTGCCTGTATGAAACAAACGTCTACATAGAGAACATGTTCCAAGTCTTTCATCGCAAAGATACTACTAGAAAACCTCATATTCTCAACCACGAATATCGTTGATAGCAGACTGCAATACATCATCTCCAACAATAGATCTTAATTTTGTCATGAAAATATCCTTCCCCATTTCCCCCTCCTGCAATACCATTGTAGTAAAATCATTCTTAAACCTCATTCATTATTCTCACATATCTTGTAACATAGGTAAAAAAATGCAAGAGGATCTAAATGCAATAAATGATTACCTTATAAGCACTGCACAACGTTTGCAATTCTTGAATTTTAGGGATAGGTAGAGAACTTTTCAGATTTGAAAATAACTTCGCAATCAAGGAATTTGAAACATGAGGAACCCAATTCACATTCAACATTCCATTCACTCGATCTGAGAGAAAGAACGTAATATTCATATCAAAAGTTGCTCCCATTACTTTGCGAAGTTTATAAATGCAAAGAGACCAAGGTTTTACCTGACAGATTTATAGGTGTATAACTGATAACGCACTCGGGAAGAATGTGGGTATTCATGTTGGCAAACCAGACTACATACAACTTGGGATTCTTCAAATCATCCACACCAGAATCATACTCCGCACTCGAAGGATGCAACTGCTGAGACCCTGCTTCAACCTTCTCGCATTTTCCCAATATCAAGCGACAAAGAATTATATGCTTCTCACCATTCTCATCTGTCTCCGACAACATTGCACTGGATCAAGTTTACACAACCAACCAAAAATGTAAGAAAACCAACAAACAAATGGAATATACCCCGTAAAGAAAGAAGCAACCAAAGCACACTACTAAACACTTGAGACAGACCAGCCCGCGAACAAATACAACAGAAATCCCAAACGAGCAACAAATGCAAGGCAATAATATATAACCATAATGCAGAAACAACATACCTATAATGGGGTGATTGTATAGGAGACAAGTGTATCCCATTGCCATGACCTTGAGGACCAGGAGCTTTGCCAGGCATACCAAAACCATGTTTCAAAATACTCTCCACACCCTTGGCCGAGGTTCCATACCATGCAAAAACCGTTTTACTATCCCCTCTGGCAATTTTTGTCATGTCCATCTGCTTCAGAAACATTGCATGGCGTGCCTTGTCCAATGGACCAGTCCTCACGCATTGATGAATCGAAGTAATTTTAGCACCGTGATTCAACATCCCCAACCCCGATAAGAACAAATTCTTCACTATTAAGTGTCCCTTTTCCTCTCCTCTCAGTATTCTCACATTAGGCCACCTCGATGACTGAAATTCATTGCCAACTATTTGCCGCCTTTTCGCATCATTAAAATTGGATGAATTCCCTTCAACTTTTTCCTTTTCTATACGTTCCAAACACTCTCTCTTTCTCTTATTCAAAATTTCGAATTTATTCAAATCCAAACAATTCGAATCCTCTAAATTCCCAAAATTTTCGCTAACTCTTATTTCAATTTCTACTTTAACATTATTCTCATCGCAATTCTTGAGAGTATTATTTCGATTGCCATCAATAAAAACCATGGGGAAAAAGCACTTACCATTAACATCAATCCAAGCAATTGACCGTTGATTCCCAGTATCCAATTCAAGCTCGAGCATCCTGTAGAAGTCAAAAAGACATTTATACCCATTAATTCCCCCCTCTATCACCGGTCTGCCCCCCAAAAAACCCAGTTTCAACAGCTCCACCACTTCTTCCGAGTAATCGACCCAGGATCCGTTGTCATAGTACAAAAACCGGGCCGGTTCGGAGCTCCTCTTGAAATTCGGGTAGTTCTGAATCAACATCCGCGTGTAGTCACAAAACGACGCTTTCGAAGAGGATGGTGATTTTGGACGAATAATTTTGCTTGAATTTTTTTCTTCAGGTTTCGACATCGTCAAAGCAGAAGAATTGGAGATAGAATTCATGGCTGAAATGTACAATTCGAGAAGCTCTACGTATGACTCCGCTAGAACTTCTGAAAATATCATTTCTTTGCCGCGTGTGTATATATAGAGGAGGACTAGGGTAATGGAAAGACATTTTTGCCCCTCATCGTACGTCGGTTAGGGCCTGGCCGCCTGGGGGATAGAACAGTCAGTTGAACTGGAGGGTGTTTTAGGAATTCAAAAATGAGTAGTGGCTTTACGGTTAAGGAATCTTCCCTTAAAGTCAGTCACGGCCGGGTTTAATTTATTCTAATTACTTCGGCCCAAAGAAACAGAAGCGTAGAGTCCTAAAAGAGAATATTCAAGAGTATTTATTTTTTTAGAAAAAGTCTTACCTTTCGACTTTTTGTCTTTATTCTTTATTCTATTCTAAATGAATAGCTTATGTTTAGTCTCAATTTTTCAAAAATTCATTTCTTCAAAATTTACCTTCAATCACACATTCTTTCAAAATAAATTTTCACTTAAATCAAAAAAATTTCTTTATTTTTCAACATTTTTTTTCAAAAAATCATTATTTCAAAACACATTCTCATATATAATGGGGTTCAAACAGGGGTATAAACTCATGAGCAAGATACAAAATCGTCGACCTTTCATTCTAATTGCATAGTCAATCTCAAATGATGTAAATATCCTAAATTTATTATATTATAACTTGTCCCTTATATGGAATGTTGACAATAGAAATCAAACCAACAAAATTCTCTCACCTAATTAGAATTTTCATCTCTTAAACTCAATAGTTTTGATAATCAAACTAGAGCAAGAAGAGAAATGGCTATTTCGAAAGGAAATATTTGAATTTGTATGATTTTCTTCTCTTACACGAGAATATTTATAGATTTCACTCATGGCTTTACGACAATTCGATCATTCTTGGAGAAATGACATGTGGCGACCTTTTATTGGTTAGCTCATAACGAGTCAATTATAGCGTCACGTTTTACTCACTTGTCCATGTGCACTTCAATCCGTCTTATAAACAAGGTTCTATCTGCACCACCTCTTGCGAAACCCTGTTCTAGAAGGTATGCAGTAAGCCGATCATACCAAACTCTAGGAGCTTGTTTCAGCCCATACAGAGCTTTATTCAGTCTATATACATAGTGAGGATATTTCGGATCAACGAACCCTTTAGGTTGTTCCACGTAGGCTTCTTCCTGAAGAACACCATTCAGAAAGGCACTCTTGACATCCATTTGATACAATTTGAACATCAAGGAACATGCAACAGCAAGAAGAATTCTAATGGATTCAAGTCTAGCTATCGGGGCAAAAGTTTCATCAAAATCAACACTTTCAACTTGAGTGTATCCCTAAGCAACCAACCTAGCCTTATTTTTTTGTAATGGTACCTTGATCATCCGTCTTATTCTTAAATATCTACTTGGTACCTAGAACATTACAATTATTAGGCCTAGGCACTAAGTCCCAAACACTGTTTCTAACAAATTGATTTAACTCATCATGTATGACATTGACCCAACATTCATCCCTAAGGGCTTCCTCAACCTTCTTCGATTCAATCTGAGACACATAGCTCGCATATGAAAGATTGTTCAGAACCTTCTTGTGAAATCTCATTCATTCTTCTATATCTCCAATAACGTTATCCTTAGGGTGATTCAATTTGATTTTGGAAGGAGGTTCTTTGGGTAGTTTAGCTTCATTATCCGGAGTAGAATCCTTAGTTGGAACAACCAATTCATTTGATGTTTGTAGGGATCAACATTCAATTGTTCCAGCTCAACACACTCTCCGTCAATCTCCCTCTCACTACAATCATCATCAACCACCACAACACCTATGCGGTTATTGTACACCCAATAAACCCGATTATTCTTGGAATATCACAAGAATATACCTTCATCACTCTTGACACCAAACTTTCCCAAGTTCTCTCTATTTCTCATAATGTAGTACTTGTTGCCAAACACACAAAAGTACTTGACAGTAGGCTGTTTACCCTTCCAGATCTCATACGGTGTCATGTCAGTTTTTGGTCTAAGATAAACTCTATTGATAATGTGACATGCCGTATTTATGGCTTCACCCCAGAAATGCATAACTAAATCTTTACCATGAAGCATAGCTCTCATCATTTCTTGAAGCACACAATTTTTTCTCTCAACTACCCCATTCTGTTGTGGAGTGATTGATAAGGAGAACTTGTGTTGGATTCCCTCCTCCAAACAGAAGTTCTCAAGATTTGAGTTTTCGAATTCCTTGCCACGATCACTACGAATTCTGGACACAGAATAACCTTTCTCATTTCTGAGTTTTCTTACACAGGGAGATGACAAGACTGAATACTTCAGTTTTATCTCTCAACAATTCAATCCAAGTGAAATGAGAAAAATCATCAACCACGACCAAGATATATCTTTTACCACCAAGACTTTCTGTCCTTGATGGTCCCATCAGATCTATATGGAGTAATTCAAAAGGTTTGCTCGTCAAGATCTTAGAAGTTTGTTTGTGGCCTACCTAAGCTATTTACCTTGTTGACACGGACCACAAACAGTGGTATCAGAATTATCCAGCTTAGGTAGACCATTGACAATCTCCTTCTTGGCAAGTTTGGACTCACATGCCTCAGTTGTTGATGCTACAACTCAGTTATATTGATCTTGGCACTACTGCACCTGTAATTAGAGTTAGGTAAGACTCCGTAACAATTTTCAGATGTTCTCACATGTTCAAGGACAATGTTACCAGTCGAATCATAAACTATACACTGTTTCTGGACAAATGTTACCTCAAACTCAGCATCACAAATTTGACTGATGCTGAACAAATTTGACTTTAAACCTTTCACATACAGCACATCTGAGATAACAAGTAGTCCAGCAATACTCACAAATCCCTTTCCAAGTATCAGTGTAGTAGCTCCATCACCAAATGTAACTACACCACCATTCCACTCATCAAGTGAAGATAACAAGGATTTGTCACCACACATGTGTCTTGAACATGCATTGTCAAGATACCAAATGGAATTATTTTGTACTTTGAGAGCAAGGTGAATAACACGACAATTTAACAAATCTCTCGATCGTTCACTTTCATCCTCACTACCAGATATCTCATTCTAAGAGCTAGACTCTGACTCCTCATAACTCATGGTCACAACTAAGGCCTTACGAAGTTCTATACCCGAACTCCTCTTTAAATTTGGACATTCACTCCTAATGTGACCATACCCCTTATACTCATGGCATTGGACAGATTGAGATTTCTTAACGGGAGTCCTAGAGGTGTTATTCTCACGTCTACATCTAGAGAATCTACTAGGGACTCCACTATTTTACCCCTGAGGCATTCTTTTATTTCTCAACACCTTCTGGAATTTTTTAACGAAATAAGCAATTTCGTCATCTCTAATGGTTTCAGTGTAAGTGGACTCGCTCTCAACTTCTCTAACAGTGTTCATGGCGATGGATTTTTATTTCTTAGGTTGTGCTAAGATCAATTCATAAGTTTGAAGGGATCCTACAATTTCTTCCATGTTAATGATGTCTTGGTCCTTACTTTCTTTAATTGCAGTAACCTTGGGTCTGAACCTCTCGGGCAGTAATCTAAGGACTTTCCTAACAATCTTTGAATCAAGGATCCTCTCAACTAAGTTAAAACTCGAATTGACTATGTCATTTAGTTTAGCATAGAAACTATCAAACGTCTCATCATGAGCCATCCTTATCTCTTCAAATCTAGTGGTCAACATCTGCAGTTTAGAGTTCTTAACAGATTTAGTTCTCACGTGTGTGGTTTCTAGAATATCCTAAACTTTTTTAGCAATTTCACACATCAACACTCGCCTAAACTCTTTAGCAAATATAGCCATGAATAGGGCATGTAATGTTTTACTATTCCAGTTGTTGGGAATTTACTTAATCATGCACAACGGAAATAAAATAATTTTCAATTCCCACCAAGGATCTGTAATGTTTTTAGATAGAAACTGTGATAAGAATTATACCTTTGATGAATTCTGCAAACTTCTTTGCTGATTCTCGAACTCCAATGATCACGATCTGCAATCCAAACTGTCTAATTGTCCAGCATCCAATGGTGATCCACACAGAGAACAATAATGACGGTTAGGGTTTTTTTTTTCTTATGCTAGCAAGAATAATGAAAATTTCATACAGTTTACAAACCCTAGCAGCCTATTAATATAAGCCCAAGTGGGCTGGTCCATCTCCAAACTTTACATGATCTGATATTTAATTAATCAAATTAATTAAATCCGGTTCATGAATTAATTAATCCAATTAATTAATTCGAGCCTATTAATAAGCAACTCAATTAATTAATTGTCCAACACTTGTCAATTAATTAATTGATAAATTTCATTCTTCTGGTTCTCTTTTGTGTATGACCCATTAGGTTCCCGATCACGATACCTAACGATGTGAATTATTATTTTGATGTAATCAAAATCGATAAATTAAAACACCCCTTCTAATTTATCATTAATTCACATTCGTCTTCCCATATTGACATCTAGCAATATGTCGGGCAATATATGTGATGAGAAATGTCACGTGATGTGACAAACCAAACTTTTTCGTTTACCGTGAAATTATAATCCTTTCGTCAATATGATCCAATCAATAATGAGATATGGATACATGTCAATCTCAATTATCGATCATATCTTTTATCCCAGGTTTAAGTCAATGTAAGTTGAAAACTCTTTTTCGACTTATGAGTTCACCTTAGCCAAGGATTTCATTATTAACTTAATTGGATAAAATGTAGATCATAATCTCTTACTATCTAAGAGCGACGNCCTCATATAAGGTACTATGATGACCTCAAGTCAAAGGACCAATTCCACTACCAAACGTTCGAGATTAACCACTAACACTCAGATAGTTATCCATGTGGAATCTCCCAATGGGTTTCTTATATTTTGTTCTATAACAAAACATTCACGTGTTCATTCAAGTGTCACCACATTTTAGCTTATGAGATCAGCTACTTATTTCACAAGTAAGAATGCCACACGCGATGTTCTATCCGTATCTCATTAT